TTTTTACCAAATACCTGTGGAGGACACGTTTGTTGCTGTGCTGCTACTGCTGCTCTTAAATTGATTTAACCACAAATTAACAAACAAACCAAAAAAAAACATAATTCTAACAATTTTTATTTAGGCAGGTTTTGGTGGGGAAATTTTCATTGAATAATGTGGTGTGCCATTTTACTGTTTAATGATTTTTATTGTTTTTTCACAATGCTGTTTTTAACCTATGTTTTAAGGTTGTATTTAATTATTTTTAACTTTGTAATCAATGTTTTAGCTCTTTCTTTTAAAAATATTGTAACCCGCCTTGTATCCCATTGTGGGAGAAATGCGAAATATAAATCCTGGAAATAAATAAATAATAACAAAAATCCTCCTTTCCTCTTTATATTTCCTCAGTAGTCATTCCAAGTCTTTGCTTTCTCTGCTAGTAATATTAGTTATTAATTTATTAGTAATATTGGGAAATAGTAATATTAGTAAATTAGTTATTAATTTATTAGTAATATTGGGAAATCCTTGGGTTAAGGATTTCCCAAATAGTGTCACTTATATTTGTGGGCAGTATCTTACTTCTCAATGGGAATGTCACAAAAGAGCAAAGTTGAGTATTTAATATCAGGACTTGTAAAAAGTTAGTTCACAGCAAAGCATTCCTTTATCCCCAAAAAGCAATTCTGAAGTGTTTATGATCATTTACATACTTGCTATTTATTATGAAAGCACAGAGAGGAATGTTTCCTTTTTCAAGGAAGTATGTGAACAGAAGAAGCTAGAATCTGGATAGCTCTTGTCTTCCCTCACTTTTATATCCAGTCTTATGGTGTATTATTAGTTATTAGTTATAATAGCTTTATAACATTTCAACTGTCATGGCTACATTTTACAGAATCCTTTTAATTTTGTGAGGTACTTAGAATTATCTGCTGGAGTGCTTTAGAGTATTCCCATGAACGACAATAGAGAAATCTTACCAAATTTAAAATCCCTCAGCAAACTCTTAATATAAGTAAACTAACTTCAAGTACTTCATCAAACTCTAAGCATCTCACAACTTCAGATCTAAGAATTACATAAGAAGGAGCCATGGGAGTCAAAGTTGTATCAAATTGTTCCAAGTATATAGTGCAGATACACCTTTAAGTTAAGCCACAGTATGTTTTCAGTTGCACTGTTCAGCACAGATATACATGAAGTAATGCATCAAGGCTTTCAAAGTGTGTGCCTTCCGTTACTTGGTAACTGTATCAGTCCCCCTCCCCAGATTGGTTAAAGAAGATGGCAGAGGTTTAACTTTCAAAAAAAGTCTTTTAAAAAACAGTACCTCCTGGACCTCAGTCTGTTCTTTCACATCTTAACATCGGCTGAGACTTTACAACAGAATTTGTTTCGAGTATCACACCTCAGCCCTTCAGCCACAGTAGTACTGATGTAACATAATTAAATAAGCACATAAAATGACTTTTTAGGAAGCACAGAATGCCACAGAATAAGCAGGGATGTAACACTCAGTGTGGATCATCATTTTAGCACAACCCAAACAAAATGAGAGGGATTTAAAAAAAACACGCTGAGCCCTCCACTTCTGCCGCCACTGCCATTGCTTGTCTTTTCAGGGCACCACAGCCCCCCCCCCCCAAGAGATGGGCTATCAGCGGCAGCAGCTATGGCAGCAAGCCAAGCCCTCCATGTTGCCATCGCCATTGCCAATGCTTGTCTTTTGGGGGGCTATGGCACTCTGAAGAGACAAGCATGGGGGGGCAGGCTGAGCCTTCCACATTGCTACAATCATTGTCAATGCTCACCTCTTCGGGACACCATGGACCCCCAAAGAGATGGCTATCAGCAGTAGCAGCACCACCAAAGTTTAGCCTGGCAGCTCAATGGGGCAGCACATAGGCTGGCATGTGGGATGTGCCTCTGAGCTGCTTGACAAAGCCACCAGGTTACTGCTACCAACATAAAGCTGGAGGAGATGGAGGAGGAGCTACTGGTTAGGTGAGAAATGGAGAAGACTCCCTTTCCTGCCCAGCCAGCTAACTTGCCAGACCAAAACCTCAGCACTCCTTTCCACCAGCGCACTGGGTGACATGACACCCCGTCTGAGGTATCACCCGGTACAGGTTGTATTCCCACACACACCCTAACAATGCCGTGGATAAAGGGTAATCACAAATGGCAATTGGAATGGAACCTGATTTGTTGCTGAGTTTTGTCCATTGTCAACATTTTATTTGTTGGTTTACTGGTACACATCATCAGTTGTGTTAGTTTGAAGAGTGGTTCACAGTGAAATGTAATGTACAAAGCAAGAGACAGACTCATTTTAAAAGCAACAATAACTAAGGAAGGAACAGCTGCAGGTGACCATAAATTCAATTGACATTTAAAGATCTTATTGAACAAAGAGACAGCTAAGTTGGTATCTAGCAACACTCTCTGGAGAATGTATCAGTGCTCCTGACAAAGGCAGACATTAGTTTGAAAGAAAATAATGTTCTCTTCAGAAATATGACTTCCAGGCTAGGTTGAATACTGCCAACTGTTCTTGTAAAAGTTCAGATCTATTTCTGAATAATCTGATCAGCTACTGGGACACACCAGAGAGGTGGTTGGCCTATGCACAATTAATCAGAAATAAATCCCACTAAGTTGAGTGGAATTTCCTCCCAGATAACTGTTCATCAGATTAAAGACTGTTTGAAGTACTTTTTAACATTTAATTATTTACACAGATGGAATAAGACCACACGACCGATGAGAAAAGCTTAGTTGGAGAAACCTGGACTATTGAGTTAGCCCTGCTCAGAACATAATGTTGAATGGAATGTACAGAAAGTAAAACTGTTGGATGGAAAGATATTATATTACCACTAATAATTGATATTTGTATGGTATATGGTGGCTTAGTGGTTAAGTTGCCAATTCTTACGATCGGAAGATTGGAAGGTTGACAGTTCAAGGTCCAAGTGCTGCATGATGGGGTGAGCTCCTGTCATTAGTCCCAGCTTCTGCCAACCTAGCTGTTCGAAAGCATGCAAATGCAAGTAGATAAATAGGTACCACTAAATAGGTGGGAAGGTAACAGCATTTGGTGCAGCCAGCCTGACCACATGACCACCAGAGCAGTCCTCGCACAACTCTGGCTCTTCAGCTTAGAAATGGAGATGAGCACCATCCCTACAGTCGGTTACGACTAGACATTCATGTCAGACTACATTTACCTTTTTTATTCCACAAATCAAATGCATTATCTAGTTGTAATCTTTGCAACATGCCTGTAAGATAAGTCTTCCCCTTTGCAATTTCGACATTGTAGTACAACTTAGTTTTTTTAATTTATTTTAGTATTTATACCCTACTCATCAGCCACAAAGGCTCTGACTTTAGCAGCTTACAGTGACTTCTATGAAATTGTTTTATATATATTAAGGAAATAGTTAACAAAGATGAGGCTAGATATACTGCAAACCAGCAGGAGTATAAATCATGATTTAAATTGTTTATCTGATAAATTCAAATGTAATGATATAAATCACAGTGTAAATAATTAGTAAAGAAGTTTGCATTTAATCATAATATATAGTAGAAGTATATAACATTAATACATATGTACAGGTATAGATTTCATTAGAAGGTAGATATACATAATACAGTGATTTTGAATGGTTTTCAGATTAATTTTCAGTTCCTTAAAAATGCAACCCCCTGCATTTATTACCCAATGTCATTATCCTTGTTCAGATCTACTCCATCTCTATTAATTGACTTTATATTTATACTTAGAGAGAGGCAAGGATTTGAGAGACAGAAAAAAGAGTACATTTCATCTATATCTCCTGCAGAACAGGACTTCCATCCCCATAAAACAGCTATTAACATATTCATAGACTATAATTAGAATTTGTATTCTTAAGATTCATGATGGTATCTTTGAACTGGTCTCTTTTTTCTTTAAAAAAAATAGAAATCTCATTTTAACATTTTAAAATCCAATTTTTAATTTTAAAATTACTCTTAATTTTAACCAGTCCTGCACTAAACACTAACATGGAACTACTAATACTAATTTTAAATTTATCCATATAATGACTTATCTATGGCATTTTTATCTCACTGTTTTATTCCAAGTAGGTCAGGGTAGATTACATGAGATCAACACTTCATTCTCACAACAGCCCTGGGAGGAAGGCTGAAAAACAATGATCAACCCAAGGTCTCCAACTGACCTTCACAATTCACCTATAATCTAAGTCCAGAACCCCTAAGTCTCAATATCAAATACGAACATTGGACTTCCATTCCTGTTTCCATTTATATCAAAAGCTTTACATCCTACAATTCATGTTCATCTTCAATGTACAGTGCTTAAAAGTTATTTTCCCCCTCTTCTTTAATCTCTTCCAGTTTCTTCCAGTAACTTTTGGCCAACTGTTCAAATGCCCACACAACATTGCGATCCTCACTTCTACAGAACTCACGCAAAGAAATACTAGAAAACAGAAGAAACAGTGATTATTATTGAGCATCTTTCTTAATCTTACTGTTTGTTATTAATTTATTTAAGACTTTTAATGCACTTCTCATTTTTTTTAAAATATCTCAGTAGTTTACAATATTACAACACTGAGAACCAGAAAATGCAGTCAGTTTCAGCCATAAAACAGTAATACAATGATAAAAAAAATAAAATGGTTTTAAAAAATTATGGTACTGAAACTGCAGCATGCAGAGTTTTGTAGGAGCACATTAGTGTAATATCTGGTTTTTCCTGTCTTAAGTATCAGCATCTTTAAAATTCAGTTGTGAAACACCAATCCTCTGAGCCTGCCCTAAGAAAGTAAATACAACTTAACATCCAAGAAAATGAAACTGTTGTTAATTTTGTGTGCCTTCAAGTTGTTTCTGACTTACGGCAATCCTATAGTGGGGTTTTCTTGGCAAGACCTGGGCGGGGGGGGGGGGGGGGGGGGGGGGGCTCTGAGATTGAGAGGGTGGATTTTCATTGCTGAGCAGGGATTCGAACTCTGGTCTTTAGAGTCATAGTCCAACACTCAAAACAGTGCACCACACAGGCTTTCTAGAGGTTAGCAAAAGCAGTGAGAACTGAACAAAAGGGATTTGTTAAAGTATTATTTAAAATACTGTTTCAAAACCTTAGATACTTCTTTTAAATTGACTTCGCTGAATCTCAAAACTAAGCAGTACAGAAGATAACACAGAATAAAGTGCAAACCATAAAAGCATTGCACGTGAGATCTCTGGGCAGCACATGCTAAGACTCAGATCTTGTTGTCACTTACCTGGCAACAGGTCCCACTGAAGTGAATGGGACGCAATTGCATCTCATTAGACATGCACAGGATTGTACTGTAGATGTGGCTTCTACAGTAATTAAATACAGAGTCCACAGTATATAAAGTCCAGGAAACTTGTGTAAATCATTACTGGGACTACAGTGTAAGAGCCTATGGCAACAATGTCCAATGTCACTAATTATTCCAGACCAGATAAAGATTTTAACATTAGTACAAACATTTGGCCTTTGTACTATGGCAATAGAGCCCGTTGATGTAGTGGTTTAAGCATTGGACTATGGCATCTGATTGTCAGGGTTCAATACCACACTCAGCCATGAAAACCTCCAGGATGACCTTTGGCGAATCACACTCTCAGCTCCAGGAAACTCTGTGATAGAATTTAGAATCGCAGTAAGTCAGAAGGCACACAACAAAAAATATGACAATGTAATGCCACAAGACTTGTGGCACAGTCTGGTCTTGTCTTGCACCAATAAGAAAAGATTCATATAAACAATCACTTGAAGTCCAGGAGCTGCTTCTTGATGTATGATAAGGACTGTTACATCTTGTAAGCAGTGCACCAATATTCTTCTGCCAGTGCAGAAGAACTAAACTTTCTTATTAAAGAATACTATGGAATATTGTGTTATCACTCTTTTGTCTTTATTATTTTAAAATGATTTTTTAAATCAAAAAGTGGTGTACAAATATTTTGAATAAATGAAACAGACAAACATAATGAGTCAAAGGGTGTGTTAATAAAAGAGGTTTGTTAAAATGAATTCCTGAGGATATAGAGAAACAAGAAAATCCATCTTAAGTCTGGTGTTACAGTACATATACCTGATTGTTTGGACAGTATGAGCAAAGTCCTTCAACAAGTCACAAGCTTCTCTTTCATGAAGACTAAAAATAAAAGCAAATGTCCAAAATTTTAAATGTTTCTTCAGTTAATAAACAGTAAGTTAAAGTTAGTGTTACATCTAATGACTAAAAGGGGAAGCAGATGGTGCAAAGGGCCATTTTGGGGGCAAGGAAGGGGAGGGGCAGCCGCACAGTGGACACCCCCTCCGACAATGCCTTCCTGCCGCAGCGTCTGCAAACGCTGCGGCGGAAGAGTCACCGAAGGTGCGCCACCAGGCTTTTGCGGTGCACCTTTGGCAACTTGTGGAAGGAGCGCTATTTTAGCACTCATTCCAGGGGCAGCGAAGCTGCGCCGCGGGGCCGAGGTGTGGGGATACCTCGGCCCCGTGGCGCAGCTTCCCGGGGTGGCCCAGGGCCGCCCGTCTACTTCCCCCCTAATTCAGGGGTTGGAACTGTGCGGACTGAAGACTAACAAAGACCTCAGAACAGGGCAAGTAAGGGCAAATTTATTGCAAAAAAAGGCTTCACTACGAAAAACAAATAATCACGCCCCAAGATATTCCCAGGCTTTTTCCTCCCCAAACTAGAAGTGACTGGCTGGTCACTTTGGTATATGAAAAATGTATGGTTGTGGCTTATATAAATCTAGGGGAGAGGTGGGAAAGGCATAGGAAATGGTGGTACCTGGATCCTCCACCGCTGGCAATCCCTGGACTAATTGATTTACCCCAGGGAGTGGGTTATGCTCAATGAAATGCTGTATTTATAAAGTTTGAGTGTAGGATGGGTGGGGAAACCATATGGCCCTCCCAACACTGTACTCTCAGGAGTCCAATGGTGAGGAACACTGGGAGCTGCAGTTCAGCAATGTCACACAGACATGAGTCCCACTCCTGGTTTCAAGAAAAATGAAGCTGGAAAATCATAGAGGGGCTATTCCCCAAGGAGCAGGGTCAAGGACCAGAACACACTGCAGAAATAATCCAGTTTGACACCACTTTCACTGCACTGGCTCAATACTAAGGAATTCTGGGAATTGTAATTTTGTGAGACATTTAGCCTTCTCTGTCAGAGAGCTCTGGTACTACAAAAAAACTACAGTTCCTAGGATTCCCTAGCACTGGGCCAGGGCAGTTAAAGCAGTGTCAAACTGGATTATTTCTGCAGTGTGTTTTGGTCCTTAGATAATAATTCTAGTTCATGATCTAAATCTAATTGCTAGTCCCTACCAAGAGTAGACTCGCTAAATGAGTGGAACTTACATAAGCATAAACTTTTTCAGATATTGTGCAGCGATATTCATTATCTTTTTGTGTAAGAGTTTTTCTTTGGCTACACAATGGCTGCTGGATGGTGCCAGGGTGCAGAACCACCTCCCAACCCAAATGGTCATTGCTCAGCCAGAGGTTTGTGTGTGTACCAGGAGAATTCCCTCATGCTGTCACCTGGTTGGTAGTCAACACCATCCCAGGCTTTGTGAGAGCTCAGCCTCTGTGTTGGACTTTACAGGACATGGTTCTGGGACACAACAATATTCTGATTTCTTGACTTACTCAACTTCGTAGGATGCTTTTCCCACCAACTCCTGCAATGGTGCATTGCATGGAACTCTCTCTCTCTCTCTCTCTCTCTCTCTCTCTCTCTCTACCTTCAAGTCATCTGTTTACTTATAGCAATCCCATGAATTTCATACAACTTTCTTAGGCAAGGAATATTAGAGGTGGGTTTGCTAGTTTGTTCCTCTGAAATATAGCCTACAACAACTTGGTATTCATTGGTATTCTCCTATCCAAGTACTAACCAGAGCTGGACCTACTTAGCTTCCAAGATCAGACAGGATCTGGTGCCTTTAGGGTTTTTAGGCCCTATCCTTCCCTTATTTAGGGGGCACATTTCATCAGCTTGGATTTGGAATCATGAGTACATTGACTAGGAGTAAACATAATTAAAAGGAGAAAGTCATAAGTTATTGCTTAAATAGGGAAGCTTTTGAAAGTTGGAGGCAGAAAAGCTCACTTCAGTTTTGGATATTTATATTTGGGAAAGGATCACAGCACAAAGACTGGACACAAGGGGAAGGTGTACATTTCCATCCCTGTCATGTCCAGTTAAAATGACATCTCGTAGCAAAGAATGGAACAATTACCCTTTGCTGTCTTAGGGAGTTACCCTTGGTGAGAGCAGAATACTATCTATGAGACCATTTTATATATTTGTACGTTTATTAAAAGAAAACAGAAAGAAAATAGCTTACCCATTATCTTGACATATAGCTTTCAAAGAACCATGTCTGTAGAAGTCAAGCAGATATGCATTAAGTGGCATTCTTCTTCCTTGATTATCACATTTCTTCAGATAGAGAACAGGAATGTTTGAAACAGTAATGCCTAGCATGTGCAATAGGACCTGCAGAATACAATATATTTCAATTTTTTATTCATATTTTCCAATTGCTGTGCACATTTACATTATACAGAGTTTCAAAACATTAATCTTAATTAATTTATTAATTAACTACTCCAAGTCCTAACATTATCTGGCCACCTATTTCATTAATCTCTACAAATTCAGTTTCTGGCCCGAGATTAAGCATGACAGCAGTTCTTCATAGTCTGCATTCAAAATATCTGACAAGATATTGCATTAATGTTGTGCTGGATTATTTTCTTACCAACAATGTCTTACAAAGATTGGTGTTTTTCTCCTGGTAACCCACTGGTAATAGCCACACTTTATATCAAGAATTCACAAGATGAAACTAAGCCAAGATCATATTGTGAAAATGCATGTTTAAACATAAACATATTTAATTTTCTATGTTGCTGAATGAGTAGACCAATTAGGGGTTCCTTTCCTTGAAAGGAAGATGCTTTTCATCAAAAGAAGAAAACTTGTGGAACCAACCAATGTTGTTCTTATAAGATACATTATTTTCAGCTTCTGATCAAAGTCTGCTAAAATCAAAAAGTTGTAAGCTTGTGTTTTATTGGTGCAATGAATTTCAATTTTGCTTCTACAGAAATGGGCACATTTAAATATGAACTTGTCAACTGTTTCACTTTTTACAAAATTTTTATTTAGACTTTCCTCATCTGTAAAGTAATATATTATACACTGCAAAATTAGATTTTTGTAATACAAATGATTTTGACATCTCCCTACATCAGGTTCTACATAGAACGCACAGTGTTTCAATATTCTAGGTATCACAAGCCTTTCCCACTTACATTGTTGAGGGACCCTGCATGCAGCAAGTCAAGATCTGAATTTCCTGAGAGGCACACAAAAGGTGAAATTGCTGTCCGTTCCATGTCACACTTCATTGTTTGAAAGGCCAGTGGGTGATCATATTGCTGTTTGTTTGAAAAATCTAATAAACACATTGCAAAATCTGAGTTACTGTAATCAGATAAAACAAAAATAATGCTTTCAATACTTCGTCTGTCAAGGTACATAAATACAGTAGTCTTTTTCAAAGCCCTTGAATTTTCTTTTGGTATTGTTTAAACCAGGGGTAGGCAATTTACAGACCATATGTGTTTCCTTATGTTATTTTGTGCCCACCAACCCCCCTCTCCCCATCTTGACTACCAAGATGACCCAAAATTAGATGGGATGGTAGAAACATCTAAAAGCCCTGCAAGAGAGAGTCAGGAACCCCTGGCCCTGAAGCCAAATCTTTTTTTAAAAAAAATATGTTCCAAAGGATTTTTGTTTATATACAATACTGTTTCAGTATAACCAAAGCAAGAAAATAAAAACACAAAAGGAGCAAAAATACCACAATATTCATAAGTATCTACAAAAGCTGACCAAATGTTCAAATATAAGTCCATTTATAAATTTTTATACATCATTCATTCAAATGATGCAACCATTGTTAGATTTTTCTATCCACTGGATCACAGGT